GCACCCTGCACCCCAACCCCCTGCCCTGAACCCCCTGCCGCACCCCACACTCCTCTTGCACCGCAACCCACTGCCCTGATCCCCCTGCACCCCAACCCCCTGCCCTGAGCCCCCTGCCGCACGCTGACCCCTTGCTGTACCCCTCACCCCTCCTACACCCCAATTCCCTGCCCTAAGCCCCCATCATACCCCACACCCCTCCTGCACCCCCTGGGGGCAGGGAGGGGGCAGAGTTGGGGTGGGGATTTCAGGGAAGGGGTTGGAATGGGGGCAGGGAAGGGGTGGGAAGAGGCGGGGCAGGGGCGGGCCTCATGGAAGGGGGCGGGGCCAAGGGCGGTGAGGAGGGGAGGTGTCAGTAATGCGGCCCTCGGGCCAATGTACTAGTCCTCATGTGGCCCTCAGGGTCATTGGAGTTTGAGACCCCAGTTTTATGTAGTCTGATGTAAAACTAGGCAAATAACTAGAGGAATTGATGTACTCCCTGGAAGACCTCTGCGTACTCCCAGGGGTACACGTACACCTGTTTGAGAACCACCTGCATAATATGCTTAGTTGATACAATGTTTAAAATGGTAGTGGCAGGTGGTGGGGATTTTACACTAAAGTCATCCCTAGATGTTGCAGACACTGAGGGCTGGAGCTGGGTTCTCTCCAAATTCACCAAGAAACAGTGTTCTTGAAAACAGCCCTTTGTTCCCTCAGTCCTAGGTCATCTAAAAATGGTGACATACATCCCTTTCTCCTTCAGAGGAACACTAGGTATCTGACTTTAAGCTACTTCTTCCCTCCTCTCCCCTCAGGTGCATGGAATGTAGATTTGCTGAAAAGAAATCTGAATTGTGGCAGGCAACTTACCTGAATTTTAGTTTTATGTACCAAACAGGTTGCCTTTTGCATTTATTGCTCTGTTATATAAATTTTATAGGTCTCTGGCACTTTTAACTTCACATAGTCATTAGAAACGTTAACTCATCTCGGGGAGGGGGGAGATTACATTTGCTAACCACTTTAAGTATGAGCAATGAAGACGAAAACCACAGAAATTTAGATTCCCCAGTATCACATCTTCCAAAGATACAAGACTATTAATAATTACTGGCAGCTTGCACTAAAAATAGTTAAACAATTATCAAAGTTGAAATTTTTCTTATTCTACATGCCGGTAAAAAAAATATTAAAATGAACTTACATAATGCAGTAGTGTGTAGTTCCATTTGACTTAACGATGGTGAGCATCTAGAAATTCCATACTACATACCAATGCAAAATGCCACCACTAAGGCTCTGATCCAGCTAATAATTAATCAATCATATGCACAGATTTAAGCATTTGAGTAGTTCCAATGAAGTCAATGGGCTAAATTAACACATGCTCAATCGCTTTGGTGAATCAACACCTAATACACTAGGCAGCATGAGTCAGGAAAGCCCAAATCCTAACACCAAAAGAAGGCTGCAATCCTACATATCTTAACTCAAGTTGCTAAATACCCAGATTTCAAATCCATATGGCAGTGTATTACCTGGATCATTATGTGAGTGAGGCACAACAAACACTTGAAGAGGTTCATCATCCCATTCATTTTCATTGTACGTGATATCAAATCCTTGTTTCCAAACTCCACCATCTGGATTATCGAAAGGAAGAATATCATAGACATCCAACATCTAAAAAGAGTAAAAGGAATGTACAGCATGAATTCACAAAACAGATATAGTGCACAATTCCATATTAAAAAAAAAAATTGTGTTCATTAAAATCCAGCATTAAATTCTTGCTGTTGCTCTTAAAAAATATATTTTTTAAATGAGTAACTGAAGACCAATCTGACTTACAGCAGCACAAATCATGCTTAGTATGATATAATGACTGGGGACCACCAAGATCAAGGGTTAATTGTATTGAGCACTGTTCATATACACAGCAGTAGATAGTCCCTGCTCCAAAGAACTTACTGCAGACAACCATTTCTCGCCTTTTTTCCTGGGTGAACTGTGCAGACGCCATACCACAGCAAGCATGGAGCCGCTCCACTCAAGACAGCAGTCATGAACATTGTAAACCCTCGTGCATTATCATATAGTTTATGCTGAACCAGGACCTGAAAAACTAGGTGAGGAGGCAGCGGCTACGGCAGCTCGGCGACGAGAGTGATGAGGACATGGACACAGAATTCTCTCAAACCGCAGGCCCCGGCACTTTGGAGATCATGCTGCTAATGGGGCACGTTATAGCCGTGGAACGCTGATTCTGGGCCCGGGAAACAAGCACAGACTGGTGGGACCGCATAGTGTTGCGGGTCTGGGACGATTCCCAGTGGCTGCATAACTTTCGCATGCATAAGGGCACTTTCATGGAACTGTGTGACTTTCTTTCCCCTGCCCTGAAGCGCCAGAATACCAAGATGAGAGCAGCCCTCTCAGTTGAGAAGCGAGTGGCGATAGCCCTGTGGAAGCTTGCAACGCCAGATAGCTACCGGTCAGTCAGGAATCAATTTGGAGTGAGCAAATCTACTGTGGGGGCTGCTGTGATGCAAGTAGCCAAAGCAATCACTGAGCTGCTGCTACTAAAAGTAGTGGCTCTGGGAAACGTGCCGGTCATAGTGGATGGCTTTGCTGCAATGGGATTCCCTAACTGTGGTGGGGCGATAGATGGAACCCATATCCCTATCTTGGCACTGGAGCACCAGGGCAGGCAGTACATAAACTGAAAGGGGTACTTTTCAATGGTGCTGCAAGCACTGGTGGATCACAAGGGACGTTTCACCAACATCAACGTGCGATGGCCGGGAAGGGTTCATGACGCTCGTCTCTTCAGGAACACTAATCTGTTTAAACGGCTGCAGCAAGGGATTTACTTCCCAGACCAAAAAATAACCATTGGGGATGCTGAAATGCCTATAGTTATCATTGAGGACCCAGCCTACCCCTTAATGCCATGGCTCATGAAGCCATACACAGGCAGCCTGGACAGTAGTCAGGACCTGTTCAACTACAGGCTGAGCAAATGCAGAATGGTGGTAGAATGTGCTTTTGGACGTTTAAAGGGTCACTGGTGCACTTTACTGACTCACTCAGACCTCAGCCAAACCAATACTCCCATTGTTATTGCTGCTTGCTGTGTGCTCCACAATCTCTGTGAGAGTAAGGGGGAGACCTTTATGGCAGGATGGGAGGTTGAGGCAAATCGCCTGGCCGCTGATTACGCACAGCCGGACACCAGGGTGATTAGAAGAGCACACCAGGAAGTACTGCGCATCAGAGAAGCTTTGAAAACCAGTTTCATGAATGGCCAGGCTATGGTGTGAAAGTTCTGTTTGTTTCTCCTTGATGAAAACCCGCCCCCTTGATTGACTCATTCCCTGTAAGCAACCCACCCTCCCCCTTCGATCACAGCTTGCTTTCAAAGGAAATAAAGTCACTATCATTTAAAAATCATGTATTATTTATTAATTGATTATAAAAAGAGGGAGAGAACTGAGACAAGGTAGCCCGGGTGGGGTTTGGGAGGAGGGGAGGAAAAGGCCACTCCAAAAGTTCAAAATAATGACAGCCTTTTGCTTGGGCTGTCCACTGGGGTGGAGTGGCAGGGTGCACGGAGCCTCCCCCCCCCACGTTCTTATACGTCTGGGTGAGGAGGTATGGAACTTGGGGAGGGGAGAGAGAGTGGTTATACAGGAGCTGCAGCGGCACTCTGATCCTGTTGCCGTTTCTGAAGCTCCACCAGACACCGGAGCATGTCCATTTGATCCCACAGTAGTCCCAGAGTTGCATCCTGCCTCCTCTGATCTTCCTGCCGCCACCTCTGATCTCAAGTGTCCCTCTTCTCTTCACGTTGGTCCCCTCTGTCCTCACGTTCACTGGCATCTTTCCTGTACTTCGATACCGTGTCCTTCCACTCATTCAGATGAGCTCTTTCATCGCGGGTCAACTGCATGATTTCCGAGAACATTTAGTCTCGCGTGCGTTTTTTTCGCCACCTTATCTGAGATAGACTTCGGGACGGAGGAGGGAGGCTTGAAAAATTTGCAGCTGTGGGAGGGAGGGGAAAAAGGGAGAGAAGTATTTTAAAAAGATACATTTTACAGAACAATGCTTATACTCTTCAACGGTAAACAACACTATTCACATTACATAGCACATGTGATTTAGGTAAAAGGTCACATTTTGCATCTTATATTGAGTGCCTGCGGCTTTGGTGTTAGGGATCACAGACACAGGGCCAGGCAACAGAATTCGACTTGCATGCAGCCATGGTAAGCCATTGTCTTTCGGCTTCTGCAATCTTCATTAAAGCAGCGCCCTCCTTTCCCATACCAAGCAAAGCCCATTGAGTGCTGCGGTTTTCCTGTTAACATGCAGCAGCAGAAACCAAACTAAACCCCACCACCACCCATCCAATTCTCTGGGATGATCGCTTTACCACTCCCCCCACCGCGTGGCTGGTATCAGGGAAGATCCCTGCTAGCCAAACGCGAAAAGTTCAATGACACCCCCCCCCCCACCGCTTGGCTAACTTCAGGGAAGGATTTCTTTTCAGCCACAGGCAAACAGCCCAGTAGGAACGGCCACCTCTGTCCCCTTAATTAAATTCCCGTATTTCAACCAGGTTACCATGAATAATATCACTCTCCTGAGGATAACACAGCGAGATAAAGAACGGATGTTGCTTGAATGCCAGCAAACACCGGGACCATACGCTGCCAGGCTTTGTCATGCAAGGATACCAGATTACTTGCTACTAGCATGGCATGGTCAAGTGTCCTACCATGGAGGACGGAAAAGGCTGCACTGCCCAGAAACCGTCTGCAAAGGCTTTTGGAGTACCTCCAGGAGAGCTTCATGGAGATGTCCCTGGAGGATTTCCGCTCCATCCCCAGACACGTTAACAGACTTTTCCAGTAGCTGCACTGGCTGCGAATGCATCCCAAGTCCTCAGAGCAAATTAATCATTAAAAAATGTTTGCATGTAAACCATGTTTTATATATTTACAAAGGTACACTCACCAGAGTTCCCGTCCATGGCTTCATGGTCTGGGATACCTCCTTGGGAGGGTTGGGAGGGTACTTCAGTCAGGCTGAGAAAAAGATCCTGGCTATTGGGGAGAAGGGAGTGCTGTGTACTCTCCGCAAGCTCCTCCTCCTCCTCCTCATCTTCCCCGTCCGCAGAATCCTCAGGCATGGCTGAGAGTACCCCCTCCTCGGAATCCACGGTCAGGGGTGGGGTAGTGGTGACGGCCCCCCCTAGAATTGCATGCAGCTCAGCGTAGAAGCAGCATGTCTGTGGCTCTGACCAGGAGCGACCGTTTGCCTCCTTTGTTTTTTGATAGGCTTGTCTGAGCTCCTTAACTTTCACGCGGCACTGTAGTGAGTCCCTATTGTGGCCTCTCTCCATCATGCCCTTGGAGATTTTTTCAAACGTTTTGGCATTTCGTCTTTTGGAACGTAGTTCTGCTAGCACGGAATCCTCTCTCCATATAGCGATCAGATCCAGTACCTCCCGTACGGTCCATGCTGGTGCTCTTTTTCGATTCTTGGACTGCATGGTTATCTGTGCTGATGAGCTCTGCGTGGTCACCTGTGCTCTCCATGCTGGGCAAACAGGAAATGAAATTCAAACGTTCGCAGGGCTTTTCCTGTCTGCCTGGCCAGTGCATCCGAGTTCAGATTGTGGTCTAGAGCGGTCACAGTGGTGCACTGTGGGATAGCTCCCGGAGGCCAATACCGTCGAATTGCGGCCACACTAACCCTAATTCGAACCGGCAATGTTGATTTCAGCGCTACTCCCCCCAGAGCGGAGTACAGAAATCGATTTTAAGAGCCCTTTATGTTGAAGTAAATGGCTTCATTGTGTGAACGGGTGCAGGGTTAATTCGATTTAACGCTGCTAAATTCGACCTAAACTCATAGTGTAGACCAGGCCAAAGAGTCTACAAAGACAGCAGACACGAGGGGGATGGAACAAAAAGAAAGTCCAGTTAAAACTATAGGAAACATCCTTGTTGGTTGATATGATTCAGGCTAATTCTGTAGCTGCTCTCTTCCTTAGTAAAATACTTGCTCAAGTCAAACAAGAGATATGAAGTTTATTCAAATAGCTGAGGTCACAGTAACTGAAGCTCTCCAAAATGAGGTGCCTGCAGAATTTAGACACTAATGGACAATTTTCTATGGAGAAAATCTTGTGTTGAGGTCATACTACAGGTATTATATCTGACTTTGCTAGTTAGGACTTGGAGAACCATGTTTCTACCTTTTTACTCTCTAACCAATTTTAAAAACACAGAGCTGTTACCCACTTATTTTGTTAGAAATTAACTTTATATCCTCCATATTACTGAAGGAAAAAGATCATCTAGGAAAAGCAAATATCACATTGTCTGAACATATAACTTTATGGTTTCAAATTCTGAAAAAAATAAGTTATTTCCATTCCCAAAGAGAGCTCAGTTGGATCCCCATATTTCGCAATGAAATCAAAAAGTTTTTAAATATTTTATGTAGTTAATTCAGGTCTATATCAGTAATGCACTCTGTGAAAGCATTATTATCCGTAAAACCTCAAATGGTTTTATATTGTGGCCAGAGTACCAAAACAGTTAACAGAACATTAAAAGGCTGATTCAAAAATCATATACAAAAGATTAACCTTGTGTTAAGTTTGGGCC